TTTGCCACCTACGTAAGATTGACTCACTGGTCTTTTTATATATATATATAAATACCTTCATCGTAATTAATCGGATGAATTCTTACCTATGGTACCCTAGACTTTTTGAATTTAAATGCAATACTAGACTGGCACGAAGATCTCATCATTTTACATTTGAGTTGGCTAGATCTAACTGTAAATTCTATGTTAACATTTTTTTTGCACTTCTCGCTTGTAGAACTCCCTTCCGGCTTCATGATTGTCAGCCAAACTTTAATCTGAAAAAATTTAAATGCAATGTTAATCGCCGTCTACTGTCCTTCTGATTACTCTTTTCATTTCCCGCACATTATTAATGTTTATTTTCCTAAGTCTTCCATATCCTGTAACCCCTTGTGTTTTAGTAGTTTTTTTCCTACCTGGCATAGGATGATACCGATTTAAAAAAAAAAAAAAAGGAATAGATAAAATCTAAGCTTATACAGAGAATTCTCCTTAGTATCATTTATATTTTTTTCACGTCTTTTTTTTATTACAGTTCGAAAAGTATTAAGATACGACGAAAGAATTTTGTAGATTTTGTTTTTTGTTTGCTTTTGTGAATGCAGGGTACTAATCGTTTTCGCAAATCTCTCTCTAAAAAAAAAAAAAAAAAAAATATCAGAGTTGCACGTTTCCGCATAGTTCATTTTATGCACCACAAAAGTGTGGTCTACATGAGTTTAACCTTTGAAAGATGCAATACTTTTTCTGATTGGTACAAAATCATTTACAAAGATAGCATAAAAAAGCACGAAAATATAAAGGCGCCAAGCGTAGCGCTAAGATAACCAAATTAGCCACGTTACGAATATGCTAGTGAGTCAATATAAAGTGTCTTTTCTGTCAGAATTATTTATAATTAACATATAAAAAGACTGTCTAGTGGTTGAAGTAATTGCTTCTTTTCCAAAGGCTCTAGTGTTTAATGTTCTAACGGGGATAAAAAATAGGTTATGGATGTTGATTTTCAAGATAGAAAGGCCCTCTCCACTTATAATTTATAAAATCATTTTGGATCCTAGATTAGACATTCTAAATTTTCTTTAAATTCTTAAAATCCACATGACTTCACCGTTACTCGACTGAACATAATTTTAAAACTAAGAAAAAAAATCACGCTGACTTGAAATCATTTTGAACATTTGAAACCATTCCAAGTTGCAGGTGCAAATTAACACGCGGACTCTGAATTTAAACTAATTCCTTCCTATTTAACAAAGATTCTAGCCATCTGAAAACTCGGAATCTTAGCAAAAGGCGACATGAACCGCAGAGAATTATTTTACAACTACACAGCAAAAAATACGGAAACTAATCTTGCATTTAACAAGTACTTCATATATATATATATATATATATATATATATATATATATATATATATATATATATATATATTATATAGTAAAAAAAAAAGAACAGTAAGATATATAATACGGTGTTTTTATTGATATTTTATTTTTAAAAAACAGTGCTCAATGTAAATTTACAGAGCATAAATATTATAAATTAATTGTTTTAAAAATGTTTCCTTTGGCATACAAGAATTACCATGTTTCAAAAAGCGAAGCTAAAAAATTCAAATTCAATTATATAATTATATTAAAAGCATTAGTTCTGCTTCATCTTCAAGCGAATGAATTTGAACTTTTTAGCTTCGATCTTTGAAACATCATGGTTCCTGCGTAGCGAAGGGACCATATTTTTTAAATCAGTTAATATATATATATATATATATATATATATATATATATATATATTTAAATAATTTGTTGATTTTTATTCAGCTTTTCTAATATTCTTACATTATTTTCCGTTTCCTAGGGTAACGGAATGTATAAATTGTTCATCGTGTCTATTGTCCCAAGAGTTTTCGGCCACTTCTTAAGCGATTTTCAAAGGGTTTATTGCCTGCTGAGATGAGGCGAGTGATACCTATATAGTAGTAGCTTTTATTCCGGGCCTCGCGAAAGGATAGCGTCAGGAATTTGAGTTGTATTTCTATTAAAAAAATAACTTTTAACTTATTACTTCTCCTGCTAAATAAGGTTAGATTAATACTGCACACCAGATGTATTATATGAAGGGCTTCTCGGACAAGGAGATCTATATATATATATATATATATATATATATATATATATATATATTATAGTCAATTTTCTTTCACATTTTTCGTTATTTTTACAGTTATTTTTTTATTAATGCTGGTATTATTTCTAGGATATTATTATAAATCTATATTCACGCATGATATTTCAATTAATTTTGTGTGCTCAGGATTAATGAAATTACTTTGAAATTATTGTAGTTATTATATATTACTATTATTATTGTTTTCTATTTTCGTAAAATTAATTCTCTCTCTCTCACATATATATATATATATATATATATATATATATATATGAATAAAAAGACTAGAGGAAAAATATCCATGCCCGACGCGTTTCCTCCTCTGACGGACTTTATCAAGACAATGAAGGATTTATTACGTTGAACGTGTTTATATTCAAAAGCAAGGATGTCATTGGTTTATCAAGGCTATTAAATTTGACAACGTTCATGAATATTTAATATGTGGCTGAAAGGCCAATGAAAACTGTAAAGCCCACAAAGTGTCTTAATCTAAAGTCTTCTAAAAAAAGGAAGTGAGTAATATTCAAGAATGAATAATGTTTAAATTCTGATTACATTGTTATTGTATAGGAAGATTTATGTGACGTGCATCTTCAAAAACATGAGGTAATGGCTATAACCGTTTCCTTTTGATTTTTCAACATATTTGTGGTCGTGTATGTTGGCTTGGGTAAGGATTAATTCTTTCAGGGAAGGTAAAATTAGAATGAAACCGGGGTGTAGATTTATATTTTGATAAGATTCGATAACGGCCCTTTCGAGAATTTCCCTTTTGAGTAAACTACTTTTTCTTTTAATGACTGTGTTATATTTTTAAATCGAAATTGTCGTTGAATTTATTTCTGTGTTGACTAGTGCATTTGATAAGTTGTTATGCATAAGTCCCTTTTATGTTTATAGATACGTTTTTACCCCAGTGTATTGTAAGGAACAGTTTTGTTAATTCATTCCTACTTCTGAATTATTTTGTTATGATTGTTTATAGTTATCATTATATCCGTAATGATTTGAGAAGTAATTGTGACTATCTGGATGTTGTTCAGATGGGATAATTTGTTTTGCAACACACACACACACACACACACACACACACACACATATATATATATATATATATATATTAATTTTAAAAAAATGCAGAACACTAAGGTTCCATTAAAGGGGTTTGTTTTCTCTTTAAATTAAATTATTCGCTCTGACTTAACATTGAGTTCTCTGGATTTCATCCTCCTTGGGATTATCCATACGTATTATCAAGATTTTCGTTACTTATATATATATATATATATATATATATATATATATATACTCGTTTGGAAAAACCTTAGGTATTTGGGCTTGTAATTGAACAAACCAATGCCCATGGGGAAATGAGTGATAAAAAAAGAAAGAACTTGAAATTGAGGCGAAAACTATCGTCCAGAATTCAAGCTCAGAGTCTAAGAAAAAAAAATAACTCGAAAACGAGTAAAGCAAAAGTACCTACGTAAAATGCTCAATACGCAAGTAGAGCAAACCTAAAGAGCCAGGTAAACCTACCAAGGTTTCACATATATGGATCGTCAGTTGACCCTGACGATCCGTATAGGTGAAGCCTAGGTAGGTTTACACAATTCTGGTTCTTATATATATATATATATATATATATATATATATATATATTATTATTTTCATTGGTTATAATTTATAATTTTTAGCTTGTCTCTAATTGTAGCAATTTGCATTGATGACATATTTCGGTTTCTTTCCGACGTAAACAAAATAAAATAAATTATGCAGTATCAAGATCTGACGAACAATTCCTGATTTCTCAGAGACTTTATTTTTATTCCGACATATCAACCAAATAAAAATACGCAAAAAAACATTTTGTCATCCAATTATATATAAAACTTGACTATTAATAAAATATATCTCTACCAACCAAATAATTAATAGACAAAGGAAAAACTTTTCTTTACCAACGCGTTTCATCCTGTGAGGGTACATTTTCAAGATAAATGTGGAAATTTTGATTTTATGTCTTGTATTTATACACGGAAGTCAATTGCAGGGGAATGTCGTTAACCTTTCAGGTTTCAAATTTTGAGAACACCTTAAAGTATTCTTAAAGCTAGTTGTGTAATGAAAGGAGGCCGATTAGTCATGTAATTTAAAGACTTTTAAATATATCCATATCGAGATTCACTGTCATTTTCGAGTTAACAGTAGCCTAATTCTTAGTATGAAATACCAAAACTATCGGAAAAATATGATTTGATCATAGTGGTGAAGGCTTGTGTAAAACAAAGTACTGAATATAAAAAAACAACAAAAAATGGCGCCCACAGTCCATCGCAATGTCACTAAATGGCGCTTCACAGCTTCTGAATTCATTTTTTTCCTTCTATCGCCCTGCCGTTTATCCATAACAGGGATAAGAAGAGATAGATTCCTAGCCTTCCCAGATGCAAATCAGTAGATTTAGCTTATAAGGTAACACGTGGTAGCATGATCTTCTACTAGGATGGGTATGATATAGTTGTCTAACAGTAAACACATAGGCACACACATTTAGGTAAGAAGGGGAGAGCTTGCTACTTCTTCGCGAGAATGTAGTGTCCACGTTCGAAAACACAATCACCTCAGACACACACCTACTTCAAGTCCGGTGTTATATATATATATGGAAATCATCGTACGTTTGAGAGATTTGGCTTCATCTTTTAATTCGTCAGTGTGACGATCGTATACAAGTTCAAAGAGGCGTATTACAGATGGCGATAATATTATCGAACCGAAGAGGCGTTTTAAAGAACATAGATCACCGAAGAGGCATTATACCGGATGACTATAATATCATAGGCTCGAAGAGACGTTATAAGGGAAGACTATAATATATAGGATCGAAGAGACGATATAACGAATGACGATACTATATATGACCGAAGAGGGGCTATAACGGATGACGATACTACATATGACGGAAGAGGCGTTATAACGAGTGACGATTCTATTTATGACCGAAGAGGCGTTATAACAGATGACGATACTATATATGACCGAAGAAGCGTTATAACGAATGACGATTCCATTTATGACCGAAGAGGCGTTATAACGGGTGACGATACTACATATGACCGAAGAGACGTTATAACGAATGACGATTCCATTTATGACCAAAGAGGCGTTATAACGGATGTCGATAATATATAGGAACGAAGAGGCAATAAAACGAACGGCGATACTATATAGGACCAAAGAGGCGTTATAACGTTGATTGGTATAAAAAAAGACAAACGATCTATTCAAAAGGAAAATGCTATAGTTATTTTCAAAAATGGATTGATAAACTTATCTCTAAATCGCTCGATCAATAAAGACCCCATTAGAAAAAGTATAGATGCATAACATGTAAGATGGAATGATTGATTGATGCACTGTGTAGCTATGAACTTTTAAGAGGAAACGAACATAACGCTTGCTAAAAAGGAAAAAAAATATATTTAGCGTAAAATATCACAACATTTCTTGTTTCAAAATTGGCATGCAAATCTTAAAATTATCTGACACCGTATTACATAATAATAAATATAAATTAGTTTTATCGGCCACACAACATAGTTACATATTATAGAGGAATAGATAGGCAGACAAATATGAACAAGGTGACAGATAACATTTTTATTCGAAAAATCTTATTAAAGAAACATAGGCGCCATCCGTCAGGATTCGAACCAGCGTCCTCCTTGGCAATAATAAAACAGTCGTTAGATCCATCGTGCATTAATAAGATCTCTCGAATATTCAACCCGGTTCAACCTGATATCAGTATCCACTAAAAAATAAAGTTTAAACGATACATTCTGTCAGATTAATAAATAAAAAATTACATTACTTCTTTAGAAATTGCTTTGTTTGCGTTTAGATACTAAACTGAGCAGATATTAAATCTGGAGAATCTATGACGAGAAGGGTTTCGTTTGAAGGGATTATTCAGCCTTGTTTGATCAGTAAATGTCTTGCGTGGTTTATTCGGTATAAGGACTTCGGATCTAAGGACGATTTCTCTTGTCAAGGGTGACGCAAGTTCGGGTCCTGTCGGAGGACGCATATATTTCTTAATAGATGTAAAACAGATATATATATATATATATATATATATATATATATATATACAGAGACAGATAGATATAGATAGAAAAATAGATAGATGTGAAACAGAATAAAATAGGTAGATGTGAAACAGAATAAGAGAGAAAGATAGCTAGCTAGATAGATGTGAAACAGAATAAGATAAATAGATGTGATGTGAATAAGATAGAAGATAGATAGATAGATAGATAGATAAATAGAATAAGATAGATAGATAGATAGAAACAGAAGATAGATAGATAGATAGATGTGAAACAGATAGATAGATAGATAGATAGATAGATAGATAGATAGATGTGAAACAGAATAAGATAGATAGATAGATGTGAAACAGAATAAGATAGATAGATAGATGTGAAACAGAATAAGATAGATAGATAGATAGATAGATGTGAAACAGAATAAGATAGATAGATAGATAGATAGATGTGAAACAGAATAAGATAGATAGATAGATAGATAGATAGATAGATAGATAGATAGATAGATGTGAAACAGAATAAGATAGATAGATAGATAGATGTGATCGGACTGGGGAGGTGATCTAAATTTGAAGTACATTTGTAAAGAGCCTGAAAACTATTACACCGGTTGGCCCAAGTCTTGTGACTTAAATTGGGTAGAGGAAACCCTTCAGAAGCCGTCGATGTTGGCTCTCGCTTGTCATTGTGATCGAGGGTTTGGGCGTACTGGTGTTGTTCAAACTGCTTTTCTTGACAGATTATCCACTCTTTTCCAGAAACTATAAATCCACTCAGCATAGTTGCAGCATAAACCACATGTGATCTCTGTGGATGTGTGCAGGCACAAATTTGCCTGAGTAGGTGTCTTAGTCACCCTAGCAGATGGGTGTGCTCCGCAAACGAGAGTAGACAGCCCTTAGATAGATAGATAGATAGATAGATAGATAGATAGATAGATAGATAGATAGATAGATTTATGTTTATATATGTACATATCTGAAGGAGTGCTTGAAATATTTCTGAACCGACCTACTTCCAAAATCATTATTCTGATGTTTGGCCACTGAAATATTGATTTTTTGAAGTGTGTCAGGCCAAAAAACTTTACAGTACCTTTTCGTATTTATAAATATAATGGTATCTATGTCTTTATCAGTGTACCCCCATCTATAACAAAAATCATATTATTTACATATATGTATTTGCAAACGTTACCTTTCCTACTTGTCTTTTTCTTTCTCTCCTTGCCTATTTACCATCTCATCACTTATCTGGAGATCTATCAATAGAGGATTTTATCGGTAATTTCTCTCCTCGAAAAAGTGGCTGCGCGCTATCGTTTTGTCTGAAAGGAACATTGGTATGAGGCCGACTTTATTCATTCTAGTGACAATAAAAAAGCGTATCAATTAAAATAGAAATCGCCAAAAGAAATAACGGGATAATTCATTCAATTTCTTTGTCATGTCGTCGATACTCAACACAAATTGGTTTTCACCATCTTTTCTTGTTTACTTTTGTTACACATCAAAATTACAATTCGAACCCAAAAGGAAAAAAAAAAAAAAGAGTTTCTTTGCTGAAATTAATTATAGAGAACAGCGTTTTAAAACAATGCAAACTGTTATTTAGTTAAGTAAAAACGGAAATTTGAGATCAATTCAAAATGAAATTAATTGAATAATCAAAACAGCATCTACAAAGCAAATATTTCCTAACAAAATTTTAAACTATTAGGTTCGGAAAATAATCAACTTGTATTCCTGAATTAATGCATTTAAACACTGTTTACATCAGTAAATACAAGAATACCGAACATTTCTGCCATCGATTTAGAAAGTTATTCAGGTATTTACGATAAAATTCTAAAGGTTTGGACGCCAAGAAATAATTGAATATAGTTTGTGAATCTTCTTTGAAACGGAATGTCTTCTGGTCTAAAAACATTTTCAAGATACTTGAAAAAGTGGTAATCAGTGATCGGTAGAATAAGTGAATATGGTGGATGTGCCAAAGTCTTGCATTCCAAACCGGAGAGATTCTGCAGCGTTGTTCTGACACTATGTGACCGAGCATTATCATACAACACAATTAAATCTCATCGATTTAATGCCGTTCTCATTTTGCTTGACTGCTTGTGCGTTTTATCTGGTAATAAACTTTGGCAGCAATATTCTGGTTAGAATCTAGGAAGCCGTAATGGTATTACCTCAATGGCGGAACAACAGACAGCCACCCTGCGTCAAACACACTTCAAAACATCGAACTATTTGACTTTCACTGGGTGCATGTGAAACCCATTTAACGAGTTTGTTCACCTGGCCAATTTATTTGAGATGATCCGATGTTGCTGAAATGCTGGCACCCATTATCTGGGACATTGTTCTGATAATTTGACGCGTTTTTTGTAAGAAGAATGTTTTCAGGTGTTGATTGTAAATTGCAGATTGACGTCCTTGATGTTAAAGTCTCGTCTCCCCACTGAGGAACTTCAGAAACCAGTGCCGTACTATACAATCCCAAGTAGATCTTTCACCATCTGCTCTGTTAATGTTGGCAGAAGTTTTAGAAGCATTGTAACCAAGCTTAGACTTATGCAAAAAAGTAAACATATCTCCTTTTTCATGTCCAAAATGTGTGGATATATAATATTTTATATTAAATTCTTAAACAGATTAATATAAAGTTATCAATATGGTTATTTTAATCATTCTGAATTAATGATATATTTTTGTGTTACTATTAAAATAACATATCAGAACAGAGTTAAATGTTTATTCTAAAATAGGACATTATTTTTCAAACAAACCAATAATTTGTAGCTGCTTGAGTTTCATAGATTATGCAAAAGCGTTTGATAATGTCTGTCACAAAGAAATGTTGGAGCGGCTTCGCAACCTTAGTATATTTGGAAATAATATTAGAATTATAGAGAACCTATACTGGTAGCAAACCGCCTGCATATGGATAGAAATATCTTCAGTAAATATACAAAAATAGAAAAGAAATACAAGGATGCATCTTCTCATATGACTTATTCATTCTATACAGTGAAGCAATTCTGAGAGAACTAGAAGTCCTACCAGGATTCATTATTGGCCTCCACAATCTTTATGATATACAAATGACATAGTGGTGATAGGAGATATAGGAAGGAAACTACAATAAATCCTACAGAAGGAAATGAAGGATAGCTAGAGCAAAGGACTAAACACGTCAATGGCAAGAAGGAATGCATGTTTAGTAGCAAACAGAACGGTCAACATACAAATTACAAATTGAAGGCATCAAAATCTAATAAGTACAAAAATTTAAATATCTGAGAAATGTTTTTAACATTAGACGGAAAGTGCGGCAACACCGAAGCACATTAGGAGAGCGAAAAGCACCTTCCAAAATCTAAGCAAAGTATGCGAAATAGAAAAATTACATTATAAAGAAAAGTGTACTGCCCTGTAATATGTAAAATTAGTCCTGCTGTATGGCAGAGAATGCTGGACAATCTCTTCACAGATGAAAATTTGAGTTGAAGTAACAAAAGTCTGGTTCTACAGAAGGATGCTAAGTTTACCATGGAATGAACATGTGAGCAACGATGAAAATAAAAGCCAAAAGAACATTTATATTTAACATAGGGAAGAAACATTTGAAATTTATAAGTTACATACTGAGGAAAGAGGGATTTAGAAATTGATACTCATATGAAAGTTTGAAGTTACGAGAGAGGAAAACAACTTATAGCCTAAAATATACATCTTCAGTAAATGGATGGCGAAAGATTAAATTTATTCAGAGCTACAAAGGACAGGGAAGTATGGAAAGGCATGATCACCAACGTCCTGTAGCGACACATTAAATAGACGAAGAATTCTTCGATAGAACGATACCATTGTCGCTTGAAGCTTCTTCAACGTCTCTGAGGAGACTATTCAACACTCGATATCATAGTGGATGTTAATAATTGAAATACCGTTCAGTTGTAATTTATTTCTATGGACATGTTCATCTGTTTTAATACTTTTCTTCCTTATAGAAGCATATTTTTCTACAGTCATGCCTTTTGCGTCTTATGTTAGTATATTATATCAGATAATGTATTTCTATAATGTTTTCATTTTGACATTCCCAACACGTAGATAATATCTTGTGTTACCTCTTTTGCTGACAACCATGACACCACGCTCAGAAACATCTAAACTGTCAACTGTATATAATCGCTTTCTCCGATCGAGTGTTAAAAATGTTTTCGATGAAATTATAGGTGTAGGTCTTAGCGAAGGAGAGATAACAAAAAGCCAAATTTATTAAGAGATACAAAAGTCGAGAGACTATGGAGATCCCATGATTCCCAACGTCCTGAAGAGACACTGCAAATAGACGAAGAAGAAGCATTCTTCGATAGAACGCTACCACTGTCACTTCAAGCTTCTTCAACGTCTGTGAGGAGATTATTCAACACTCGATCTCATAGTGGATCTTAATAATTGAAATACCGTTCAGATCTTTTATTTCTGAAGACATGTTCGTCTGTTTTAATACGTTTCTTCCTTATAAAAGAATATTTCTCTCCAGTCATGCCCTTTGTGTCAGTATGTTAGTATATTATCTCAGATAATGTATTTCTCTACTGTTTTCATTCTGACATTCTCAAAAGGTATATAATATCTTGTGTTGTCTCTTTTACTGACAACCATATTGAAGAAAAACCTCACATAGAAGAAGAAGAAAGAGGAGGAGGAGGAAAAGGAAGAAGAAGAGAGAGGAGGAGGCATATGCTCATTTCGTCTACAAGGTCGAACGAGTGTTTACGGAATAAGCTCTTTTCTCTTATGAGGCGAAAAAAATCCATATTTTAATATGCTGATATTTAGGAAGCTGAGCTAAACATGGTAGACAGTGAAATGAAGTGAAATTCGTGCTGTCATGACAGGTTACAAAATGCGTGCAGGATTAAGCAGTTACAACCACTTTTAAGTGGAAGAGAAAAAGACTGGGGAATCGACATTAAAATTTCTGACGAGAGGCAAAAAAAAAAAAACGATCTCTAAAACATCTCTGAAATCCATAACTTTTCTGTCACAAGATAGACTTCATTATTCTGTTTAAAGTTAAGCAAATACAATGTTCAAAAGCCAGTGAAGGTAAAGAGTCAGTGTATGAGGTGTGGTGTGGTATGAATTTCAAATGTAGTAGATGGAAGAGAAGTCTATATGACTGTAGCGTTCAAGGAAGCATCTAGGGAGATTCAGCTTATTCTAGAAAGAAAGAATTCTAGGGAAATATTTTTTTCCGCGGCACATCCTTTTTACAATTAACAAACAGGGGAAATATAGTTGATTCGAATCCGTAACATGGATAGTTCTAGCGACAAATGTCTGAACTGACGGGTTTGGATCTCATCTAAATATATCGCGCGCGCATGAGAGATACTAATTAGCGATAGGTTTATGTTATGGCCCAGGTTAGGACCAAGGAAGAACAACACGAACACAAGAGTAGAAATAACGAAGGTATATTACACGAAATAATAATACAAGATGTGAAAGGTGTTAGTATGACTGTCAGTCTGGTTTGAAGTGAACTACTATCGGCTCGGCTCGATTCTGTATCTAGCCACCCCACCACGAGGGTTGCATATGGCACAAGGCCGAGTTTAACGTGGGTTTCCCGAGCCGTAGGCTCGGCCAAAAAATGCCCGTAGAACCCGTATAAACGGGATCGGGTTGCTCAACCTCCCTGAACGAGACTCTGGCCTTCGGCAGAGCCACGTCCGGTTTCCTCTCTGCTCAGAGACAGAGAGTTCGACCGTCAAGCGAGAAGCTCGACTTGATTCGACCCTCTCTCTTGAGAGGCGTACTATAGATAGTGTTAGAAATAGTTCATTCTCTAGTTATAGGTAAGGACCCATGACAGTTTATGTGCTTTAATTGAATTATCATTTAAGTGAATGACATATTAAAAAGTAATGAACGACGTTTGAAAGTTTTGGAGATATTGAAAACAACACAATTATTTTGTATTTATTAACGAGAAAAAAGAGGGAAATAAAATAGCCAAGTGTCAATAGAATACATAGCCTTAAAAAAGGAAACGCATGAATATGCATATATATATATATATATATATATATATATATATATATATATATATATATATATATACTTCTGATAGTCAATTTATTAACACAATAGCGAATCTCGCTCATAAACACTTAGATAGAAACTACAACTCACCCGGGAAACTTGTTTTGCTTTTCACGAAATTTCTTCACAACACACAATTGGACATTCGGCTATATATATATATATATATATATATATATATATATATATATATATATCTTACGAACTGTCAAGTATTGTGTCGATTGAAAATATAATATCGTCAGAGATTCAAACGTTTTTAAAATGGAGGAAAGAGCTGATGAGGAAGTGTGGCCGGGCACAATTTATTTGTCAAACTACGTAGAACACATCAACAGAACAATGACGATTCCGCCAAGTTTGAAAATTTAATCAAAGTTTCACGAACACAAGTCTCTTGAATATCTCAGAATTGTCGATGCCTGCAAGCGATGATTAACTGACGGATTTGCCGACATTTTTTCTAGCCATTCTAGGTAGTCATTTACGACTATTTTTTAAGAGCTTGAGAAGCGATTGCCCTGAAGGATCTTAACCTGCTTTCTTTTATACTTCCTTATAATGTCACTAGTCTATTTCCTCAACGTTTATGACAGTTGCCAAAAAAATAAAATAAATATTAGCTGCAGAGAATAAGTTCTTGAGAATTAATTAGATATGAAGGCTATATTGAGTTCTCATCAGTTTCTGGTTGATTCCCTCATAAATATTAAAGAAACGTACACACTATTCAGCTGTTTCTCTTTTGTTTATTTTAAAATGACCTTAACATTGTACAAGGCCCAAGAGACACTCGATGTAGTTTATTTAGATATGTTTGGAATATAATGGTTGATTCTGGACAAGAACAGGTTAAGATTGTAGTAACCATGGAAGCATCCTCTTTGGAGTTGATTCCACAAAGAAGCGATTCGTAGGAAGAAGCTGCCTGGGTGGAATATACATCTCACGAATAAAATACGAATGGTAATTAGTACGGTTCGCTATAATATGCGTGGCATGGCGGGTCTTAACCGGGGAGACTAGAATTGGTTGAACGAAGGAAAGTATTTCGTCTGAACAGTCTACATGGAAATAGAAGATAAACAATGGAGAGGCGTGCGACGTCTTACTTGTGAGAAACAAAAATGGCTGTAGGGTAGAAATTAATTCGTCACTGACAAGGACGTGGAAACGCTTCAAGACTAGAAATGGATGCTCTTGCTTTTCCAACAACTTTATAGATGGATCGTATGTACGAGTCCCACAAGGTCTGGGTTGAGTATACGTTCCAAAGGTGCTCAAATCAAGGGGCTTCTCTGAGGGGACATGCATTCATAGCGGTTGGTGAAGTTTCTCTGTCCTGATTGGCGATGGTTAAATGATACTAGTTTGATTTTCGAGGCATTGAATGAGACCAGCCAGTTTTATTCTCACCGAGCTGGGTCAGATGAGATATTAAGTCCTTGATTTAAAAGGGAGACATGTAAGATCAACTGACGCGAAAGATTAGCATAAAGTAGTCTTTATATGTAATTTCCGTTTATCTGGTGTTTGTGTCGTAATTAAATTTGTCGTCGCCTGCTTCGTGGACAGGTATTTCTCATGCTTGACTACTAATGGAAGCCAAGAATAAGCTGAGGTTTCCAATAGCGATAGTCGTGTCAGTCATTTTCAATGTCTCTTTGCAATCACACTTTATATCCCCCAATTTGAAAATTTCTCCTACATACTTGACACCTATTTATAGTGATTGCTGAAGCTTCTCAGTCCTGATAGGCGATAATAAAATGCTACATGTTTGATTTTCGAGGCATTTAATGTGACCAGCCAGTTTTACTCTCACCGAGCTGGGTTAGATGAGAGATCATCTGCCAAACACTGGTTATCTGGAATTTGGTTTCGGTGTAATATTTTTGTCCAATCCGAAACTACATATAATATAGGTAAATATGACAAACTTGGAAAAGAAAGTTGCCAACAGTGCAATGATTGCGTTTTGGCAATTCCGACTTGGTTGTTACCGCGTAGTTTAAAATCCAGAGTTTTTACTTTGACTCACCTACTATAATCACTCTTGTAGTTTACCCCGTGGTAAGTAGAATTATGTATTTACTACAAATATTTGGCCACAGATAAATGGTAACATATTAAGTCCTTGATTTAAAAGGCAGACGTGTAAGATCAACTGACGCGAAACATTAGCATAGTCTTTATATGTAATTTCCGTTTATCTGGTGTTTGTGTCGTAATTAAATTTGTCGTCGCCTGCTTCGTGGACAGGTATTTCTCATGCTTGACTACTAATGGAAGCCAAGAATAAGCTGAGGTTTCCAATAGCGATAGTCGTGTCAGTCATTTTCAATGTCTCTTTGCAATCACACTTTATATCCCCCAATTTGAAAATTTCTCCTACATACTTGACACCTATTTATAGTGATTGCTGAAGCTTCTCAGTCCTGATAGGCGATAATAAAATGCTACATGTTTGATTTTCGAGGCATTTAATGTGACCAGCCAGTTTTACTCTCACCGAGCTGGGTTAGATGAGAGATCATCTGCCAAACACTGGTTATCTGGAATTTGGTTTCGGTGTAATATTTTTGTCCAATCCGAAACTACATATAATATAGGTAAATATGACAAACTTGGAAAAGAAAGTTGCCAACAGTGCAATGATTGCGTTTTGGCAATTCCGACACTTAGTTGTTACCGCGTAGTTTAAAATCCAGAGTTTTTACTTTGACTCACCTACTATAATCACTCTTGTAGTTTACCCCGTGGTAAGTAGAATTATGTATTTACTACAAATATTTGGCCACAGATAAATGGTAACATATTAAGTCCTTGATTTAAAAGGCAGACGTGTAAGATCAACTGACGCGAAACATTAGCATAGTCTTTATATGTAATTTCCGTTTATCTGGTGTTTGTGTCGTAATTAAATTTGTTGTCGCCTCCTTCGTGGACAAGGTATTTCTCATGTGTCAGATCATTTGACTGCTAATGAAAAGCTACACTTGAATAAGCTGGGGTTTCAACAGCGATAGTCGTGTCAGTCATTTTCAATGTCTCCTTTCGATCACTTTAAATCCCTCAATTTGAAAATTTCTCCTACATACTAATATCGTTGCGATGGAGTACAGGTTATATGCTTTCTTTAGCTTGGGTGTATAACAGGGGTTCTGAAACTGGATACACTTGTTTCCTCTTGAAAGAATTGTAACTTTAAGAAAATAGATTTTAGCGAAGTGAGAAATTTGGACGGAATTAAGTCAGTATATCATGCATAATTTTAATGTTTCCAAAATTACTAGATACAAATTGAAAAGGGAGGGGATTGTCGCATGGCACTCTGGGAATCACTGATTAGCATAAAAAATAATTCTCATTCCTTTCTATTTGCACAAAATACAATTAAAATAAATGGATCACTTTTTGTTAATAAAATGCCAAAAGGAAAATTATTTATATATGAAAAATAATTAACAGTTCAATTTATTTTATACTATTTACATTGTTCTATCTTTGTTTCGGCCGTTGTACGCTCCAGCCTTCTTTAGATAATTGGAATTTCGAAATGAACCTTTCATTTCGTCTAGGACGTATGGCCCAGTGGATAAATGTGTTGGTTGGATCCAGTAGACTTG